TGCTGGCGGGGCGGAGCGCTGCGCACGGCGCTGTCGGCCAGGCTGGGGCGGGACCGGGGTGGGCTGTGGCTGCTGCTGCCTGCGCGCCTCCCGTTCGCGCAGCTCGCTGGGGCTGAGGACGGGCCCAAGGGTGATCCCAGTACCCTTGAGCCGCTTGCTGCCAGCCAGCACAGTAGCAGCCATGGCGGCGGGCAGCGACGCCTCAAGCGCCATCCGCCCATTCCGCGTGATCCACACCCGCTGCACCCGCACGCCGCTGACTGACATGCTGTAGAAGGCGTGCAGCCAGCCGCAAAGGCGTCTGCAGGCATGCTCGTGTGTGGGAAGGCATCCAGCGGCAGCCTCCGCTGCCAAGCCGGGGAGCCCTATCACCGCAATCTCAGCTGTCTGCTCGCCTGTGGGTGGCGCTGGGTCCCGCGCAGGCTGCAAGCTGCCCTCGAGCGGCACGTGCCGAACACTGGGTTCGGCATGCCGCGGGGGGCGGCTGTCGCCGCCGGGCCGCGCCTCTACCAGGCGCTTCTCCACCCATCGCAGGAGCACGAGGAGAGCTGCTGCCGAGAACAGGCCCAGAAACAGGCCGACGGCCGCTGCCACTGCTAGCGCCTCTGAGAGAGTGAGGGAGACGACTGTGTCGAGCATTCTGTGCAATAACTGTGCAATAACTGTGCAGATAACTGTGCCCCCCTGTACCGCAGCTACTGTGCCGCGGGCGGTGCAGACGGCATGCCCGTTTTTTCAGCTGCAACGGTCGCCATGGCGCAGGACCATTTTGTGCGCTATTCTACGAAGCTGGGCGGCTCGCGTCCGCCACTCTACTGCACAGATGCGTATGTGGTTCCCCGCGGCGTGCGGCAAGCGCTCGTGGCTGCATTCAGCCTGTCGGTGCAATGGGACAAAACGCCGCTCACCCGCCTTGTGGAACTGCAGTCCTACTCCTCCACGCGGGCCAGTGCGCAGCGCTTTGGCGCCCACTTCGACCGGCGCGGCTTCCAGTTCAGTGGCGCCGCGGGACTGGCGCTGGTGCCAGAGTCGGAGGAGGCTGCCGCCACCAAGCTGAAGTGGGCCATCCTCTCCACATACAGCGAGGCGCCCACGCTCACCGCCGTGCTGCTGCCCAGCATGCCCTCCAAAGGTTACAGCAGGTACATCCAGCATGCCCGGGTGCGCAGGCTGTGCACGGTCCCTAAGCAGCATCTGCATGTGCAGCGCCTGCTGCCCAGCGGGGAAGTGCAAAGCACTCAGGCCAAGTGGGATGCTGACCTGCTGGTGGTCGCTAACGCAGCAGGCATTATGCAGTACATGCAGCCTGGCGGGCTGCAGGATGCGCTCAACTTCCAGCTGCTTACTGCTTGGCAGCCGGGCCCTGCTCTGGGCCTGGATGTCCAGGACTGGATTAATGATCTGCAGCGAGTGCAGGGTGGCGATCGCCCGCCGACGGGAAAGCGCTCGGCTTTCATGCTGGCACAGCTCCTGCCGGCTGCTGTTGTTGCCCCCCCGCCCCCGCCCCTCCTTGACCCAGCGCAGGCCCTCGCGGGGCAGCACCACCTCCGCTTCCCGCGGGGCAGCAACGTTTACACGGACGGCAGCAAGCTGACGTCGGGTGCGATCGGTGCGGGCGTGGTCGCTGAGACGGGTCCAGGCACAGCCGAGCAGCAGGAGGTCAAGCCTGACGGCCATGACCTGCAACTCAACACGGTACCGTATGCTGAGCTGGTGGCTGCGCTGCATGGCATCATGGCTGCCCCGCCTGGCGCTGCCCGGCACATCTTCCTTGACGCCAGCACTGCCATGTGGCTCACGCGCATGGCCCTGCATGAGCCTGAGCGCGTGCGCACCAAAAAGCACAAGGGCATCCTCACCCACATTGTGGCGCAGTTGTGCAGCCAGGCCATGATGCAGGGCACCACTTTCGCCCTCCACAAGGTCCGTGCCCACATTGGGGTGCTGGGCAATGAGCTGGCTGACACGGCCGCCAAGCAGGCGGCCAGGGCGGCGGAGGGCGACGCCAATGTTACATTCTATACTGATGCGCTGGCGGGCACCCCGGGCCTGGGGGCCAGCTGGCCGCGACACATCGCCCGCCCACGGAACGAAGACGAAGAGGAGTCCACCTACTGGCTGGCCGACTCCCTGCCCTCTATGAAGAAGCACGTCGCCAGGGTCTTTCAAAACAGGATTGTGGCCAGCACGCGCAGCGTCATGCTTACCCTGCTGCTGCAGCAGCGGGAGGAGGGCCCTGACGCGCCTGGGGTGCAGCCCGAATCTGCAGCTGCCATTTGGAACAGCCAGTTCACGTTTGCCCAGCGCCGCACTGCGTTGCTGCTGCGCTTCAATGCCCGCCCCTTCCGCAAGCAACTGCATGGCTTTGACGCCGCCCGCCACCCCTCCGCGCTGTGTGATCTGTGCACGGCGCAGGTGGAAGAGACGCAGGCGCATGCGCTGGGCGGATGCCAGCACCCCAACACGCATGCTTTGGTGTGCAACCGCCATGGTGGCACCGTGCACCTGCTCCATGAGGCCATCCAGAAGGGCGTGAGCTTCCACACTATGGCGGACGCCGAGGGCCACTGCCAGTTTGTCGAGCCGGCCTGGCTGTTGCCTGAGCAGCAGCGCCCCACCACCCCTGATGTGCTTGTCGTGCTCGGCTTGCTTGCCGCCAGCGCTGGCCCGCCTAACAGGCAGCAGCACGACATTTGCATGCTTGAGTGCTTCCACACGTATGATACTAACCTGACCGGACGGTGGGCAGCCAAGCGCAGCAGCCATGCCGCTCTCCAGTCCATGCTGGCGGCCCCCGGGCGCTGGCGCGGCGCCACGCAAGCTGCCATTGGCGTCTCGCACTCGGGCCTCGTTACGGGCAACTTCATGGCCGTCATGCACGATCAGATAGGCCTCAGCCGCTCTGCTGTCAAGCGCTTGGTGGTTGACCTGGCGCAGCATTCGGCGCAAAACTGCATGAATTTGCTTGCAGCCCGCAAGAATGCGAGGGGGCCCCAGCCCGACCTGCCCGGTGACCCACCCCCGCCGCCTCCCCAGCCGCCGCAGGGCGGATCCCCGCAGGCGGGCCCCAGCGCGCCTTCAAGGACGATGACGCTTGCCCGGCGGCGGCGGCAGCGCGATGACGGATCAGCAGACGCAGCAGACAGGCGCACTCGGCGCAGGCAGCACGATGCCGCAGCGGATCGCCCGCCGACTCGGCGCGGCAAACGGCAGGCACCACAGGATGTCCCCAGGCAGGCGAAACGCCGCGCGGGCGCGGCGGCAGTGAACGCAGTGACGAGGGTGGGGTGGGGAGGGGGAGCGGCGGGGCAGGGGGCGGCCACGGCGGCGGCAGCGATGGCGGCAGCGGCACCAGCAGCAGCTGCAGCGGCGGCACCGGCGCAGGTGGCGGGCAGAGGCGGCCAAGAGGCGGCGGCTGATCGATCCAGGCTGACCTGCACCTTTGTTCCCCCTCGTTGTTTTTCACACGGGAGCCAGGGGCTTGACACCCCGTTTCCTCCCAGTACGGCCGAGGTACAAATCACGCGTCCCGCGTATTCTCTTCTTCTTCTTCTTCTTCTGCAGCACATGGTCCCATTTATATTGAAAACAGACAGAGCATTTCATAATGAAATGACAGGATATTGAACAAGAGGGTCGACAGCTAGGCAGATCATTGAGCGAGTCAAGCACACATGGACAAACGCTGAGAAAGCCCAATTCAATCAAGCAGTACAAAAGCAGGAGGCTACACCCGCAAGTGCAATCTCCTCGGCAGGATGCCCTCTGCAAATCAACGTCAGCCTACTGCCGTGGCGGCGTCGGAGAAGATCCGGAGGAGGTCATGCCGCAGCCCAGCACAGGCGCCACCAGCTCGTGCAGCCCCAGCACGACGCGGAACAGGGCGGCCGTGTAGCGCCGCATCCATCGGCTGGCCATGTCGTCGTTGGCGGACTTCATGCCCGTCACGCGGCGCAGCAGGCGCACCCCTGCAGAGAGCGCAGGGGCAGCGACGGGTGCGCGGGGGCTGGCTGGTCGGAAAGCAAGCTCATCAGGGAGCCGCAGGCCCCCACAGTGCAATCCCCCAGCAAGCCCTACGCCCCAACAAACGCACACCTGCCCACACGGGGAAGATGAAGGTCAAGGCGAGTGCCCGGAACACCACCCCGCCCAGCTTCTGCCCCGGCCGCTCCGCCGTGTAGTGGCGCAGCGTGGCCAGCCAGGCCTGGTACTCTGGGGTCAAGCCATAGTCCTTTGCCCCGTCCCGGATCAGCGTCAGGTAGCGCAGCGACGGCAGCGCGTGCCGGCCCTGCAGCCGGGAGGCACAGTGCCGTGCGGAGGGGGCTGTCTAAGTATAAAGGAAGGTATGGCGCGGAGGAAGGCTGCCTCAGTATAAGGGAAGGTGTGGCGCGGCAGCAGGCGGCCACACGGAAGCAAGCCCACCCCTATTTATGATCATCTAGGCAACTGCCTGCAGGGCCCCCCCACCTGAAGCCGGGCCTTGATCTTGGGGGACACGGTGAGTGTCAGCACGACCAGCTCGCGCCCCGAGTAGTCCACCGCTGTGGCCTCGACCACCTTGTAGGCGTGGTCCTCCTTGCCCCCGCTGCCGCCCTCTGTTTCCAACACATACGCCCACTGGCTGGGCGTGATGCGGTGCGCCACGCCGTGCACATCCGGCTGCCGCGCGCCGCCGCTGCTGGCGGCGGCGTCCTCCACCTCCTCGGGCTGCGGCTCCACCGCGGCAAACGCGGGCTCGGCGTAGGGCAGCCCCGGCTGGCTGAACTCCAGCCGCCAGCCGGGCAGCACCGCGGGCACGCTCTCGGCGGGGCTGATCCTGCGCCGCCCCTCGAAGACCTTCTTGTTGATGTTGGACCCAAATGCAAAGTACCTGCAGGAGGGAGGGTCAGCAGCGGCTCACAGGGTTGGAGAGTCGGCGTGGACAAGCCCAGCGACCCAACACCCTTGCCAGTGGCATGCACACGCAGCAGATGCACAGGCCCCTACCAGACATTGGCCTCCTCGCCGTCGGCATTTGGTGCAGGGCCCAGATGCGCCTCTGCCTGCGTCGCCCTGCGCGGCGGCTCAGCAGGCAATGCCAGGCGATCTGCAAGGAGCCGGGCAAGAGGAGCGCGGCTGCCGTGCACACGGAAGTCGGCAGCAGCAGTGGCAGCATTCCTCCAGATCGCTCACCCCACGTGCTGCTCCAACTGCTCCACGCTCTCCTCAGCAGAGTCGATGACAGCTGAGGCGAGGCGGACACCCTCGCCGTTGGCGGCACCAGCGGCGGCGGCACCCAAAACCGCCCTCCGGCGCGGCGCCATCCTGTGTGTTGCTCCTCCTTCCTCTGAGGCACTGCTGCTCACTGCCCGGAGCAGATCACGTGGCGCTCTGCTCAGCAGGGTTGTGTGGAGGGGCTGGCGAGCTCTCGCTAGCAGGGCGCAAGACATGCGCATGGGCTAGGTGCGGGTAGGTGCATAAGGAGTTAAGAGGGGATGAGCAAATGGCCCCACACGATGTACCAGCCACAGCACGGAGCAGGCGAGGCAGCCCTCTGTTCCTCTACAGGGGTAAAAGCATTGGTGCAATTGCATCCTCGACCAGGCCACCATTTCCTGAACTCCGCTTGGGCCTCCACCCCAAGTTGGTGCTGAACACCCTCTTGCATATTGCCGAAAGCTAGAGTAAACATGGCTGGGAGTAAGGGTGCCACAGCAGACGCGGGAGGGTCATCCGCAGCAAACGGGTGTGTGCATGTTGGTGTCGCCGCACCTCAGCTCTTGGCAGGGCCTGCACAGGCCACGCGTTGGGGCAGCCGGGTGGCGCATGAAAGCGCTATGCATGTGCGGTTCCCGTCCCAGGGCTGCCTGCCGCTGCCGCCGCCCGCCTGCCGCCGCTCGCCCGCCGCCTGCCACCTCTCATTGTTAGCGCCGCCCCTGTCCGCTGCGCGCTGCAGGTATGAGCCTGACCCCGTGTTCAAGCCCGTCAGCTCCGCGCAGCCCAAGCTAGACTGCTCCGAAGTGGGGCTAGACGGGGATCAGGAGCTGTGGCTGCTGCAGCTGCCACTTGACGTGAGCAGCTGCGCTTGCTCACACGTGGCCCTGCACCTGCTGGACTGTCGCTGCGGCTGGGTGCCGCATGCCGCTGATTGCACCTGCGGTATCCTGCCACTGGCGTCCCGCCCTTGTTGCCATCGCTGCTGCTGCCGACAAACGCTGTCGCTGCGGCTTCGCTCTCCACCGCTCTGCCCTGCAGTTCCCCGCTGGTGCCAGCGTGAGCTGGACCATCTCTGAGGATCCTGAGGATGGCGTCCGCGGCCACTGCACAATTAAAGGTGCGTCTTGCTCCCTCCTGGCCTGTCTCAGCATGCGCACCAGGACTCGCAACCTGCCGCCGCAAGCAGAACCCAACCATCCATACATCCGCTTGTCCCCTGCTCCACATCTCTGGCTCCCCATCTGTGGCTGTGCAGGCGCCGAGTATGTTCTGGTGCCGGAGCCGGAAGCGCTGTCTGCAGCCCTGTTTGCCACCCCTGCCAGCGAGCACGGCAGCCTGGTGCCTGTGACGCGCCGCATGACGGTTGCCCGCGTGAGCGCGGCCCCGCTGGTGTGCTTTGGGCAGGACGGTCGGGAGCTGGGCAAAGCCGGCATGGCGCCCCAAGTGGCGCAGCTGCTGTCGCCCGACAAGAAGGCTCTGGAGAAGAAGAAAGCGGAGCAGCGGCGGCGCGGGCCGGCGGCGGTAGCGCCGACGATACCCAAGCCGCGTGGCGGCGCCGCGCCTGCAGTGCCCAACAAGAAGGGGCAAGCGACACCTGGGTCAGAGGGGCCACGGGAAGCAGAAGCGGCGGCCCCGGGCGGCGCGCCGGCCGCGGCGGCGGAGCAGCAGCAGCAGCAGCAGCCTGGGGAGAAGGGCAAACAGAAGAAGGACAAGTCTGAGAAGAAGAAAAAGAAGAAGCGGGAGCAGGAAGAGGGGGCAGCGGCAGCAGCCTTGGAGGCGGCAGGGGGCAGCGAGCCAAGCGGGAAGAAGCAGCGCAAGGCAGCAGAGCAGCAGGCTGTTGCGCCTGTGGCTGCAGCACCGGCGCTGGCTGCGGCTGCAGCAACGCCATCTGAGGCGCCAGCAGCGCCAGCAGCAGCAGGCAAGCCGGAGAAAAAGAAGAAGGAGAAGAAAGACAAGAAGGACAAGAAGAAGAAGAGCAGCACTTGAACTGGCTGTTCTGTGCCCTCGCATCCCCTGCTTGAGGCCTCTCTCGGGCACCACCCACCCTGCGCCTGTAAAGCCTGGACGTGCCTGGCTCTTCTTGCAGTGGGGAACGGAGCAGACGACAAAATGACGGCAGTTTGCGCACATTTAGCAAGCGCATTGATCTCTCTCCTAAAACGGGCAGACCGATGCCCTGCCATGACAGGCGGCTAAGCCCAGCTGCCTGGTGTGCACATTCCCACCCGCTCCTTCACGGCATGTGTGCCTTGTGCGTGTCATCTGCCCCAACAAACACCGAGGGCGGGTGCCCATAGCTGCCTGCAAGACAGGGATGGGGAGGTGTATGCTACTGGCAGGTACCGGTGCATCTGGGGGCGCCACGGGAGCAGGGCGGCATCCCTCCTCGCCTGTTCCATCATCTGTGGGGCTGAGGGGGCGCGCGGCGGGCTTCATGGCGGGCCCCGTGGGCAGGTGTGGCGGTGGCCGCGCATAGTCGGCTGCTGGGCTGTGCGGCTTGTGATGGTCGGAGAACTGCAGGCGGGGCTGGCGGTTGGGAGAGTGAGGGCCGCACGGCAAGGCTCATGCAGACAGGCCGCGCCTCCAGCTCTTGCCTCATAGACCACAGGCGGCTGGCCGTACGAGCCGCTGGCATCGTCCATCCCAGTCAGGCCACGGGGGCTGCTGGGCGGGGCGGCTGCACGCTCGGCAAGTGCGGCAGGGACGATTTGGCGGCGGCGCGCGCCACTAGCTATAGTGGCGCGGAGAACCAGCGCCCAAGGCTTACCCGCTTTGTGAGCCGCAGCACTCATGTGGAATGGACCAGTGAACTAAGGTCAAAGGGTGGGGCACGGGGTGCCAGCACCAGGGCCACAGCAGGAGCGGTCACACAGAGGAGCGGTCACACCGGATACTGGTTTCTGGCTGGCGCGCGCCTGCGGTAGTAAGCACCTCCAACTGGAAAGCGCGGCGCGACAGGCATTCATAAACGCTGCTCCAACGCCTGAAGCTTCACTTCTTCCAGTTCTGTCTCCACAGTCAACCCCGTCTCCCAGCCTCCAGCACTCACACACAGCACACCACCATGTCTGAGTGAGTGGCGGCTCTCAACCTGTGACTGACCTTGGACTGCTAGGGAGTGTGCTGCTATCTGCCTTGGACCGACGGAAGCCTTGGACGGCTAACCCGCCTGTCCCTAGCCTGTCCCTAACTTTGCTTGGCTTGTGTGCTATTGAGAACGCTGCCCCTGGTGCCTGCCTGCAGGAAGGAGGGCACTGTCGAGCGCAAGGCGGTCGAGGGCGAGCAGACCGCCACTGGCATGCAGAAGGAGACGGTGGGTCAAGACGGTTGTCTGGGCTGGCATCTGGCGCCGCGCACACCCCACGCGGCTGAGCGCATGTCCCAGGAAGCTGGGCCGGCCCAGTTGGCTTCTGACTGGCTCTGCTGCCTCCTTGCCTGTGCTTGTGCAGTTTGGCACCGGCACCGCGGCGCAGGCTGAGGCGGGCAAGAAGGGTGGGGAGCGGGCCAAGGAGCTGGGCGCTGGCATCATGGCCGATCCCTCGGGTGCGTGCGGAAGCTGTGCCACACAGGCCTGTCGCTGGTTGGGCCGGCTGGCCTGGACGCAGAACGGGGGCAGCCGGCCCAGCTTCAAGTTGAAGACGGCAAGCCGCACCCTGGCTGCTGTGTCCCCCTGCCCGCAGGCTATGGGAAGAAGGGCGGCCAGTCTGGCGGCGGCGGCGAGACTGAATGAGCCAGTCACCTGCGTTGCAGTATACCCCATTGGCGGCGACCCAGCAGCCACAAGAAAGTGGGCGTTAGTGATCTCCGCGCTCTGTTGACGGCCCTTGCCGGCGACCTCCCCCCCTTAATCCGACATAGTCTCCCCTGACCATGCATGCCCATGTGTGTCCCATGTGTGTGTGTGTGTGTGTGTGTTGACAGGTGAAAATAGTGTGACAGTCTCAGAACAAAAGGAGGGAGGGAAGGGAAAGAGGAGGCCAGTGCATCGAAAGCAAGGGAGCAGCAAGGACAGCAAGCAGACAGACCCGGGCCGTGAATGGGGCCGACCGGGAGAAACAGCGCTGGTTGAAAGATGGCGTTAATGGTTGGTGGCTGGTGGGAAGGTCCTGGACTAACCCAGCTGGACCACAAAAGGAAGGGAGCTACATGAAGTCGTCCTCATAGTCCTCCGCCTTCTCATACTTCTCCCGCAGCTCCCCGGCAGTCACCATCGCCTCCTCCCGCATGATGTGCTTGTAGTCTGCGGTAGAGGCAGTACAGGTGGGGCGCGTGGGGGATAAGGCCGGGGCATCGCAGGGAAGCGGCAATTGAAGCGGCATTCACGCAGGCGTCCAGGGCAGACAAGGGTGCGCCACGGTGCTGGGAGTGGGCTGGGGCCGCAGCGGCGTGGCAGCGCCCCACCTAGCATGTCCTGCTGCCGCTTCTGCTCCTCCTTCTCCTCCTTCTCGGTCCGCCGCTGCACCTGCAGGCCGGGCAGGCCGAGCGACAGGGAGCGGCTTGCTGCAACGCGAGATGGAACCGCCTGATGCAAAGCTCATCGCACAGCCCAGCGTGCAACTCACCGTTGCCTCTGCCTTGCGCTTGCCCGCCTGCTCCTTCTCCCACGCTGCCCTCTCCGCCGCCAGGTCTGGAAACCTCTCCTCCTGGGAACAGCGCAGCAGAGCATTGCACCGCACCAAGCCCGTCAGCCGAGCACACCCGAGCGAGTAAGGCAGTGCAGCAGGCGCTGCAAGCGAGGTGGTGGTGCATGCCAGGCACGCACAGCACCAGCAGCTGCTGCGGCAGCAGCAACACCGCAGCAGCAACGACGGCTCAGCAGCGGCGGCATAATCCGCCCTCCACCCTCGCCGCACCTGCGTCTTGTTCAGCCGGTTTACGATTTCGTTCAGCCGCCGCGCCACCTGCGCCTTCTTCACTAGCTTGTCATTGTGGAACCCCACCTGCAGCGGCGGCGGCAGCCAGGGGGTGAAGCAAGGGCAGCAGGCACGATATCTGTTCACGGCGCTTTTCAGGGCAGGGCCTTCCGTCCCCGCCACAGCCAGCCACCAGAAGCACAGGCAATGTGCCGCGCTCTTGAGCAGGCTTTGCATCAAACAGCAACACCGCACCTGCCCCACCGCCATGTCTGCGCTCTTGCGCAGGTTGCTGGCGGGCGTGTAGACAATGGCCAGGTTGCTGGTCTTGTTGCCCTGCGCATCATACATACGTGCAGCGGCAGCAGCACTCGGCAACGCAATGCTGCGTGAGAAGCTGCAGGACCAGCACTGCTCCTGCCCCCGCTGGCGCCCAGCGGGCCTCGCAGCTTGCGCGATCCACTAGTTGCCTGGCCATCTGGATCCATGCAGAACCCCTTGCCTGGATGCTGTTGGCCTTGACCAGCTGGCAGGCGTCCTCGAGCGTGTCCTTGGGAATGTCTGCCATCGTCTTGCCTGCAGGCCAGGGCGCCAGTGGCAGGCACAGCAGCTCAGGTCAAGCTCCTGCAGCACATTGAGCAGGCCAAGTTACAACAAGGCCTGCTGAACCGTGCGGCAGGCAGCCAGGGTGCATGCTCTGCCGCCAGGCATGCACGCACCCTCGGGCAGCCGCAGGTACACGTGCGCTGAACTGAGGGCATCAACGTGGAACCATATGTCGTGTGGAAGCGCGTTAGCGATCAGGTCCTCATTTTCATACTTGTCCAGGCCCTGGCGGGTGGAGGGAGCGGTGGCGGTGGTGTAGGCAGCAGTGGCGGCGGCCAGGGGCGGCGGGCGCCTTCACAACAGCATATCCGCATGTGCCACAGCGCGATGGCAATGGTGCAGCGGCCCTTGAGGAGAGAAACGCTTGAGGAGAGGCGGCCGGCATGCGTCCCATCACCTGACCGCAGCGATCCCCTCACCATGTACAGCAGCCAGTCATCCTTGCCAGGGCCGTGGCCCCGCGGGATGAAGAAAAACACCATCGAAGACTGGCAATGGGCGCCCAGACCTTCCTGGCAGCGCGATGGCGATCAGAGGTCTGTCCACGTGCTAATTTAAGGCAAGGAAGATGAAATAGAGGGCAAAGCTTTGGTTGGCCAGGTCACAGCAGGCAAATATCGGGATCTCTCTTGCATCCTGTGGGGGCCTCGATAGGCGGTTGCTGCACCACCATGACTTCCTGATTGGTCGACAGCCAAGCACTTGAACTTCGAGTTGAAGGAGCATTGCTCCGGCGCCACCGGCGGCGGAACGGGAGCAGCGGCAGTTCCTCTAAGTGTGCACACCGGGGCTTCTAGACTCCCGCAGGCTCCATCCCCCACCCGCTCCAATTTCTGCTGCACTTTGAGGGCGGCCAGCATTTTGACTGTTACCTGGTGGCAACACCGCCACAGGCAAGGTTGAACCTGCACATCATGAGCACATGGCCGAAATAGACTAAACTTAGGCTGCATTTTTCAATTAATATCGGTGCGTCATAGTCTTGTAAGCAAGTTCCCGTCCCCTGCCCAGACTGGGCAACAATGAGGTGGGGAGGCGGCTGGGAAGCGGAGCCTCCCGCTCTGCCCCGCCCCAGCATGCGCAGCGCAGGGGCGCCTCCACAAACTGGGGCATTTTCCATCTGGTTTCAATGCCAGGGCCAGCTGTTATGGCATAGAAGGGCTCCCCAGCATCCCATCGGGCAGCGAGGAGTGATGCCGCCTCGCCGATCACGGGCCCCAGCGGGTCCCCCGCCCCTGCTGCAGCGGCTGTACGGCGAGGGCAACGTGGTGTGCCTGCGGGAGCTGCTGCTGAGGCTGAGCGGGCAGTCGAGAGAGGCGTCCGCCCTGGCGGCGGCGCTGGTGCTCCCATGCGACCACAGTGACTATGCACAGGTGGGAGCCGAGTGCCCTGGCTAAGGGCCTGGCATCTGGGTGCTGCACGGTCGCAGCTTGTTGCATGCAGCTGTCCATGGGTGGGCCTCTGCCATGCTCATGCCAATTTGAGTGCCCCACGCCGTCCCGTTTGCCTGTCCGTTCAGGCCCTGCTAGAGCACACCTGGTGCGTGCTGCGGCCGGGGTGCCCGCAGCTGCGCGAAGGCTTCACCCTGTCCCAGGGCTCCAGCCAGAGCCAGGCAAGCGATCGGGGTGCCCATTGGGACGACGGCCCTGCTGCTCTACCCTGTGTGTTGCATGTTTGTTTATCGATGATGGCGGCAAGCCCCCGATGCGAGGACCACCATACGCCCCTGATGTGCAGCTGGTGATCCGAGCGGTGGAGGCGCTGCTGACCTCTGGGCAGAACAAGTCGGGCGGCGGCGGCGGCAACGTGCTGTGCTACGGCTACCGTCGGAAGCGCCCCGCAGGCACGGCTGCGACGCCTGTCCCCAGACTGCCCCTCTCTGTGCTCTCCTGCTGTATCTGCTGCATCCACTGTTGTTTGCAGCCTCCCTCCCGTGCTGCCACTGCTGCTGCCATCTTTGCCTTTTAGCCGCCTGCAGGTGGCGGCCGCAGCGTGCCTGGCATGGCCACTGCAGAATCGTACCACCACAACAGCACCACCGCCAGCCTCTGCAGCCCTGCCTGGCAGGTGACTTGTTCAGTGGAGGAAAGCAACCGGGAACCATTCCGCCAGCATGTGCCATGCATGCCTCACAACTTGCAGTGTTTTGCTGTGGAACTTGCTGCCTAGCCCAAACCCCTTGCCTCTCTTCGTCTGGCGCTGACCCTGCCCTGCAGCTACTGCTGTCCCGCATCGGCGATACCCTCATGCTCTACCTCCTACTCCAGACATCCATGTTTGCGGCGCTGCCCAACTCCTGCTGCCTGCAGCTCAGGTGGGTGGGCTGTGCATCATGCTCTCGTGGTCGGCAGCCATACGCTGCTGGCATGGCTGGTGGGCGGCCGCATTGATTTGCGTCAGCTGCGCCCAAGGAAGCTCAGCCTTTCCTGATGCTCCTCTGCTTCATGCCATACCCCTGCCCCATGCAGCGGCCCGCCGCTCAGCCAGGTGGCAAAGGCTTGGCGGAAAACGGCGCCTGTCGCTGTGGCAGCAGCAGCCAAGCAGCTGCTGGCGGGGGCGACAGGAGCAGGGGAGGAGCAGGGAGCAAGCGCCGGGCCACAGCAGCCAGCCGTGACGCTGACACAGTTGGAAGGAGACTCTCCTGCCGACAGCCTGATGGATGCTGTGGAGCAGCATGGCCGCTCGCAGCCGGCTCCTGAAGGGCGGCCTGATACCGAGATGGCGGCAGCAGTTGATGGGCCAGCTGCGGAGCAGCAGCAGCAAGCAGCAGCCGGGGCTGGCGATCGGCAGGGTGGCAAGAAAGCACGGGCATCCAGCTGGCAGCGCCGCCGCGCGGCCAAGCTGCGCCAGCAGACGGAGCAGCAGGAGGGGGCAGAGGCGATGCAGGTGGATGGGCGAGTCAACGAATGGGGCCTGCCCCCTACTCAAGAGCTTGGCTCGGCTGGGCAGCGCAGCTGTGGGCCAGATGCTGCTGTAGCAACAGCAGTTCCAGGTCTGGACCCAAGTTGCCCTGCGCCTGCGCCTGCTGCACTCGCCGCTGCTGGCCCTACGGCCGGCAACGCCGCTGGCGACGCGGGCGATGCGCGCAGCGCGGGCGCCAGCCCCGGCGAGGCTGTCGCCGGGGCGGCCCACGGCAGTGCGCAGCGCAGTGGCAGCAGCAGCAGGCGCGGCAGCAGCTGGCCTGCCAGGATGCCGCGCCCGACTGACATGGTGCTGCAGCGCAGCAGCATCTTTTATTGCGCCTCCTTCCCTCAGAAGCCCGGACTGACCACCCAGCGTGTGTGCATGCTGCCCGCTGTCCAGCTTGCTCGTGGGTTGCTCTGCCTGGGGATTGCCTGCTGGGGGTCGCCTGCTGCTGCTGTCTGCTGCCGGCGGTCTTGCCCCATCTGTTGCAACCCCTGCGCTTGCTGCTACCGCCGGTTCCGATGCAGACATGCTCAGCAAGCTCAGGGGCGCCAAGCAGGCTGACCGGGCCCTGTTTGCTGCCATCTTTCACCCCGAGCACAGCCCGGGTGAGGGGGAAGCAGGAGAAAGGAAGCTGAGGGAATCGCTTGCAGTGTACTGTGGGGCAGCAGGCTGGAATGCCAACTTGCGCTATGCCCCAATTGTGCGCTTGTTTTTGCAGTGGGCCGCGTTGGTGCCATGCTGGCGCTGATACACTCCACGGTACCGCCGCCACCCAGGCGCGTGCCTGCACGGCACCGCCACCTGCTGCCGCTGCTCGGGCGGCTGATAGGTGAGGCCTGCTCCAGCTATCACCGCCGTATTCTTAGTCACAGGCAGATGCTTTGTGTTGGTTGCACCTAGCTCGAAGACTCCTTGCGTGTGCCTGCCTATGAGCGTGCCTTGCAGAGCGAGCCGCCAAGTGCCCCTTCACCATCCTGCTGCAACACCACTGCCCGCTGCCGCACCAGCTACGTGAGGCGCAGCTGCAGCGGCGTCGCGAGCAGCAGCAGGCAGCGGCTGCTGTGCTGGCAGCAGGGCAGCAGAGGCATGCTGGTGTGCCAGCAGGGATCAGTGCCTTAGGCGCCGCTGCCGACGCTGGCGCGCCAGCAGGGCCAGTGGCACGTGCGGGGCTGCCGTCTCAGGGGGCGCTGCTGCAGCAGGTGCGTCAGCAGGGGCTGGGGTTGCAGCAGCAGCAGCAGCAGCCAGGGGCAGGCCCCAGCGTGGATCAGCTGATGGATGAGTTGTTCCAAATGGAGCAGGCACAGCAGGCGCAGCACGCACAGCAGGTTGATGAGCAGGCGCAGCACACTGCGCATGCCCAGCCCGGTCCAGGGGCAATGCGCCCCCGGCAGCAGGCAGCCGCCACGGGTGGGAACAGCGGTGCAAGCCTGCCGCCGACGCAGCACGTCCGGGGGCCGGCGGGCATCGCACACGGTGCAGCAGCAGCGGCAGCAGCAGGGACAAGGGCAGCAGGCGCAGCGCCAACAGCGCCGGCTGCTGCTGCTCCGGCGCGGCCCGCCCCCCTGGCGAGCTGCTTTGTGCCCCACAAGCGGGTGGTTGCGTTTGTGTGGGGCGTGGTACGAGCCATCGTGCCGGCGGCGCTGCTGGGGGATGCCAGGAATCGACGGGCGCTGCGAAACGGCATCAGGTGAGCGGTTTCACACCTTTTTCTTGCAGGAGAGAAGGGCCCCTGTGGCTGCACTTTCTTTCCTCTCACATGTTGTGTTGACCTTTCATCGTCGGGCACCCTTGCAGCCGTTTTGTGCGGCTGAGGCGCTATGAGCAAATGAGCGTGCATCAGGTAATGCAGGGGCTGAGGGTTACAGGCATGCCATGGCTTCAGCCTGCGGTGGCTGTCCAGCAGCAGCAGCAGCAGCAGCAGCAGCAGCAGCAGCAAGCAAAGCAACAGGCGGGTTTGGGCAACAGCAGCCGGCAAGCCTCAGCACCTCAGGAGCCGCAGCAGCGGCACGGCCCCACATTGCACGCCGCGCAGCAGCGGCAGCTGGCATTGTGGATCGGCTGGCTGTTTGTAGGTCCGCGCCTTGCTCTGCTACCGACTCTGCTGCCGGCTGCTTGAGCATGTTGTCTGCTGGGCTTGCCATGTCCAATCTACTTTGCTGGTGCCCGCCGCACTTCCGCATGATACTCGGACATCGGACGTGGCGGCCTTGCTTGCGTGCCCGCAGTGCTGGTGGCGCCGCTGCTGCGGGCGCACTTTTACTGCACCGAGAGCGAGGCATACCGCCAGCAGGTCTTTTACTACAGGTACTGCTTTGCTGTACCACCAGATAGTGCACTGTCCTGAGTACTGCTGGTGGCAGAAAATTGGGGATTGCACTCCTGCGCGATGCTATTGCATCAGCGCTGCACAGACCACACCCTGTTTGCTACTCCCTCGCCCACGCACTGCAGGAAGCCTGTGTGGGCCGCGCTGGCCCGCGCCGCGGCCGAGGAGCTGCAGCAGCGCCAGTTCACGCCGCTGCCCAGCCGCGAGGCGCTGGGCATCCTGCAGGGCCGCAAGCTGGGGGTCGCCCGCCTGCGCCTGCTGCCCAAGCGGACCGGTGAGTGCGCCAGCCCTGATCCGGCCCCAAGTCTGTGACCTTTGACATGTCTTGACTGCCGAGTAGGTCGCCCGAGTCTGGCCGGCGTACTGTATTGTTGCCGGTACCGTGGGGCGAAAAAATGCAGATGGCTAGGGGCTCCTGCTTGCGCTGCAGGCATGCGCTTCATCGTGAACCTGGGCCGCAAATCCAGGGTCCGCTTCCCGGGGCCCAGGGAGCAGTCAGGTGCCGGACTCTGGGTGGGATGACTGCCAAACAAGCCAGTACTGCCGGACCGCTGCACCGGGCGCGCTGCTGTACTCCCAACTTCTGTGTGTGTGTGCAGGCGTGGGTGCCAAGCGCAGCCAGCGCACGCGAGCCATCACTCTCGACTTCAAGCCAGTCAACTACCTGCTGCAGAATGTCTACCAGGTTGGTTGAAACGTTTCAGCAGCAGTATCGATGCGACAAGTGCTGCCCGGGAGGCCACACCCAGCTGACCATCCATGTGCTCGTCGGCACCTCCCCTGGCCGGCTGTCGCGCCCGCTGCCTGCAGGTGCTGCGCTTCGAGGCCTCCTGCCAGCCCCACCTGCTGGGCGCATCAGGTGGGAAGGCAGCCCTGTCGTTCCTGTCTTGCCCCATGTGCTGGGATGCTATCGCCCGTTTGGGCCCAGCCAAACATACCCAGGGCCGCCGCCTCCTCCCACCGTATCTGCCCTGCAGTGTTTGGATACAACGACGCCTTCTGCAAGCTGCACCCTTTCCTGCGCAAGTGGCGTGCCGTGGCAGAGGCCGAGGCGGCCGGCGGCCGCACGCTGCAGCCCTTGCTGGGTGCGCAGCCTCGCCGCGACGGCATGCCCTGCTGAGGATGTGGCCGCCTGCCCTCCCTGCGCTGTTGGTTGCTGTCCATGCCTCATACACACATTGCCCACCACCTGCTTTGACACCTCCTGACACCCCCAGCCCCCCAGCGCCACCACGCACACATGCACACACACGCAGTCTGCTGCCTGCTTCCCTTCACCCTCCCCCACCACCCGGCGCAGTGTCTGCTGACGTGTCCCGTGCATTTGACGGGGTAGACATCCCGCTGCTGCTGGGGCTGGTGGAGCCGCTGCTGAGGCACGAACAGTACCTGGTGCTCAAGTATTGGGAGGTGGGTACCGCCGATGCTGATTGGTGATGTTGGTGTGTTTGTACTGAATATGAGCAAGAATGCAAAGCTGCTGTCATGCCAAGCAGCTGGCAAGGGTAGCTCTCACTGCCTCGCCCTGCCCTGCCCAACCCTACCGTTGGCCCTGCTCGTCCCTCATGTTGTGGCACACAGGTCGTGCCCAGCCTGGGGCAGGTCAAGGTGATCCCGCGGCGCCTGGCTGCCGCGGTGCAGCCCGACGGCGCGCCGCCCTTCCCGCTCCTGGCGCAGCGCTGGGCGGCGAGCCACAGGGGCAAGGCATACACCGACCAGGTCAGCGTGGGGCCGCTGCTCAGGCGTGCCGGCGGCTTGTTTCCTCCTGCTTGTTCCGCTGCCTGGAAGCCAGTGCCCTTCTTTTTGCCTCTGTTCCTTCCTTGCGTCTGCTGCCTCCGCACCCGCCTGCTCGCCTCATGATTTTCCGTCTAATCCAAGGATGGTATCCTGGCCGGGCCCCGCTCAGGTGGTGTACGACCGGCTGAGCCGGCAGCAGGCCCTGGAACTCCTGCGGCAGCACCTCACCGCCAACCTGGTGCGCCTGCGGCGGCGCTGGTGTGCGCAGACCGTGGGCATCGCGCAGGGCAGCACGCTCAGCACGCTGCTGTGCAGGTGAGGTCCTGCTGCCGCGGCAAGGGCAGGCCAGGGGCTGGGTGAACCTAAGCAACCCGACCACACACACCATCGTGCTGACGCGTTGCCATCCGAATCGCCTTGTGCATTGTGCGCTGCTGCAGCCTCTACCTGGCCCATCTGGAGCGCACTCACCTGGCACCCATTCTGGAGGGCCAGCTGGCGCCCGTGCTGCCCAGCACAGCCGCGGCAGCCAAGATGTCGGGCGGTCCTGCCGCGGCAGCAGCGGCGGGAGGGGCTGTGGCTGCCACGGTCTCGTCACCCACGGTCGTCTTCCTGTCTGGCGGCATTGCAGCGGCAGTTGGGCCTGCGGCGGTGCTTAGCTTGCCAGGGACCAGCGGCACCACAGGCGCCAGCAGTGGATCCAAGGGCATACTAACTGAGCTGGCCCGGGCTGCTGACAGCATGGTGACAGCTCAGCTGCCGACCAGCGCAGGGACGGCGCAGGCCGCGTCTGAGCGTGCCACGCCGCAGCATGCGGGCGACAGGGAGGCGCGACGGCGGCCCAAGCACAGCGGCGGGGAGGGCGGAGGGAGCCCAACAGGGGACCTGCTGCTGCTGCCTGCTGGCATGGCCCCGGCGGCTTCTCCGTCTGTGGTGGCAGCCGGCAGCAGCCCCAGCCTGGGCGCCACCCCGCGGCGGCAGCAGGCCCCAGCAGCGTCACCGGCTGCGCCGCGGCCCACCGGCCTGAGCTACAGCCAGCAGCAGGCGCAGCAGCAGCCGCTGGGGTGCAGCCGGCTGGCGATGCACGCCGGCTCTGTGCTTTTGAGGCTGGTGGACGACTTTCTTCTCATCACTGCGGTACCTGCCGTAGCCCACAGCTTTGCCACCCGCATGCTGGAAGGTAGGTGCAGCTCCTGCATGGTTAAAGTGTGCTTGCTCATAGACCGTTGCAGTACCCACTCCACAAGCAGAGTGGACTGAAGCGATGACTCGCCGCACTTACGTGGCCCCTGCAGGCTTTGACAGCCACAACGTGTATGTCAACCCAGACAAGACCAAGCTCAGCTTTGCCCTGCAGCTGGTGGCAGCGCTGGGGGCCTCTGGGTCCCAGCCCGCCGCTGGCCCCCGCGGCGGCGGAGAGGTCATGCCGGCAACACTGTGGCGGGCAGGTGAGCGGCACTGCAGAAGCTGCAATCCCAACTGCCTGCCTGGTGTTTTCCCTGCCCACTGTGTTTCCAATATTTGCATGGTGCGCCCCACAGGGGACGGAAGCACCTTTGTCAAGTGGTGCGGACTGCTGATCAACACAGACAGCCTGGAGCTCCAGGGCGACTACACGAGGTGTGGTGCTGCGCATGTCGCTGCCCAGCTGGAAGCCAACCGCCGAGCTGCCGACAGCTATGCTACAGACCGCTTGATCCCTCCTGCCTGCCGGCCTGCCTGCCTGCCTGCAGGTACAGCGGCGAGCACATCAGCACCTCCCTCACCCTGCCGCTGCGCAAGCAGCCAGGCGCGCAGGTGCGGCAGGCCGCCACTTGGGACGGGTGGTGCTGAGGGTGCTCGGAAAGGGATCCCCACGTCCATGCGCCATCCCGCCCACCATCCCAGCACTTGCCGACCTACCGAACCCTCCCGCCACCTGCTCTGCAGCTGCCCGTACGGCTGTGCCAGTACCTGCGCCCCAAGATCCACCCGCTGCTGCTGGACGCAACCCTCAACTCCCCACAGACCGTGCGTCTCAACATCTTCCAGGTGAGTGCGGCCCTGAGTGTGGCGACAGCGGCTCCTGGTCGCGGCATGTGTTGGCTGTTTCTGCTTACGGGCAGCGCTGCGCCCATGCTGGCGAGCTTGCTGTATGCAACCCTGGCCGTGGTGCACACTGCACCCTTGTTTCCAGGCTTTCCTGCTGGGAGCCATGAAGTTCCATTGCTACGTCAGGGCCCTGCCTGCGGCGCCCGCCCCGGGCACCGCCGTGCTGCTGGATGCCATCCTTTCTGGTGGGCTGCTTGCTGCCTGGCACACGACCAAGCCCCTGCAGGCTGCTTGCCTCGTGCGCGGTTGATGCGACGTAGGCCGCAGCTGATCTCGGCGATGGTACTGCTTGTACTGTTCTAATGGTAGTGCCACTGGTACTGCTGCTGCAGGCATCACCTTCATGGGGGCACTGACGCGCCGCCGCCGCGTGGCCTCGGCGCACCAGCAGGGCCTGCAGGTGCCCTGCTCCACGCACGTGCCGCCGCCCCACATAAGGTGAGCTTTTTGGCCAAGCGTGCCCATGCTCGTGATGGCTCTCAGCTCAGGCAGTGATCGCCTCCCAGGCAAATCTTGTTTACGCGTCAGCTTTGTAACGTGCATACCACTGAAGCCCCTTCCCTGCCGCCGCCTGTGCAGGTGGCTGGGCCTCACCGCCTTCCTGCGCGTGCTGCGCCGCAAGCAGACGCGGTACGGCCCGCTGCTGGCGCAGCTGCAGGAGCTGGCGGATGCGCCCGCCCTGCAGGCAGCCGCGCGCCTGCTGGCGCCAGCTGTCGACCCCGCCCGGAGCTCCGTCTTTGAGACCATTCTGTACTGAACATCTATCCATTTTGTCGGTAACCTTTGGCCACAGGTTGGCAGCATTGACAGATTGCTTCTTGTTGTAAGTGACGATGCTGTAAAGTGAGGCACCGCAAGGGGTATCAGCGAGGCACGCAAGCGGGGTTCACGCAGCAATCATTGCATCATGTGATGGAGAGAATATGCATACACTCAGACAACACAAGGCGAGCAAGCAGGGGTCCCTAGCACGGGTGGCCAGCAGCAGTGCCAGCGCACCACTGTGGCGCCGAAGGTCTTGACAGCTCAGCACAGCCTGCAGCAGCCGCCGTCATTCCAGCACGATGCCGGGCTCCGGTTTGCCGCCGTGCATTGCAGCATCGGCCTGCTTTCTGCAGCTAAGCAGTGGGTGCAGGTGGGGGTGACAAGCGAGCAAACAACAAGCAGAGGCGGCAGAGGCGGCTGCAAAAATGAACCTCAGTCCATCTGAGGGTGCATGTCCTGGAGGAACCACCCCCAGCCATGCTCACTTCCAGCGCCACCACTTGGCTGACGCGGTGCCGCCGGGCGCCTCCACCCACTCGCCACTGTATGAAGCAGGGGAGGGGCAGCCCAGCAGGTTTGCCTGGGAGCTGCTCCACCCTGGCTGTTAGTCCAGCCCAGTGCAGGCAGCTTCACCATGGTGCCAACCTCTCTGGGTATTCATCGTCAAAACGGTGGTCAGACTGGGCGCTGCGGCCCGCCGCCACCGCCTCCTCATCGCTCTCCCCTTCGTGTATCACGATGCACCCAGGGTGCTCCACCTCCTCGCCGTGCGCCACAAACTTGCCCTCGGTGTCAGCGTACTCGTCTCGAGCCTCGGCATACTGGGAGGGGAGGAGGCACCCGTTGAGAATCATTGAACTAACCGCTTGGCCACAAGCTCAGTAAACAACACGCAGAAGCTGGTGGCGCGGCCGCCCGCCGTTGACGCCTCCGCACCAGCTCAGCCCACCTTGGAATAACCCCTGCCTTCTGCAAAGCTGCGCCAGGCGGCCGAAACCCCAGGAGGTGCCCGTCGCAGGGCGCTGCAGCGCAGAAGGCGGCCTGCTAGCATTGTCGGCGCCCCAACTGAAATCCTGAAATGATGAAACCCAACCCGCAGGTGAATGCACTCTGAGGCCCAACTCGAGCAAACCAAACAATCTGCGTTTCGAACACGATTCTGGCCGTGCCTGGCCGACTTTCCTCAACCTTGGACCTGCATCACCTCCTGCCCTTCGGAGTCCCAGGAAAAGGTTACGCTTCTGGTGTCACACAGAGACATGCGCGGCGGGGCCTCCGCCACAGGGGACATAGCAGTGCGAAGAGAGTATGGCAAGGGAGCAGGGAGGTTCAGGGGAAGAGGGGATTTCTGGCAAGCACTGCAGAACGTGGCAGGTGAGGAAAAAGAAGCAGCGGCAGTGCGCTGGACACAGGGAATGCAACAAGCAGCGGAGGAGGGGGGGCAACGAAAAGAAGGAGGGCCGCCCTTGCGGCAACGGCCGTTTGGGCATGCGATGCGCTAGCACAGGCTAAACAGCTTCAGACCTGTTTTGCAGTCAAGTCAGGGGAAAATATAGGACACTGCTCAGACGCACGCGGCGAGCGCCTGCCGCGCTGGAGGCTGCCCTGCCGCCCTGCCGCCCATGATCGTCACTGCGGGTGCACCACCGCCTCCGCCACGGGATCGTACTGGTGCTCGTAGGCGCCGTCATCCCCCACCGCCTGCTGGTGATACTGCTGGTCCTCCGCCGTGGCCTCCCACTCGGCTGCAGGACAGCAAGCAGCGGGCAGTGAGCAAGACGGGGGGCACGCAAGGTCAGCTGAACACACGCTGCGCAACCCACGCCCCTGCAACGCCTCGCGCCCTTCCTCCGCATTCCAGCAGGGCGGACCCCCCGCCGCTTCATGCATGCGCCGCCTCCTCTGCACACCTGCCAGGCGATCATCGGCATCGTCCGCGGGCTCCTCCCAGCTGCCGCCATCGCCCTCCTCTCCCTCGTAAGGGACCTGCGGCAGGTCTTCGCCGGGTGGCTGCTCCTCCCAGGCGCTGCCGTCCCCCTCCTCGCCATCCACTGGGGCAGCCGCATGGTCATCGTCCGCGGCTGCCCACTCCTCCGCCTCCGCCTGGGCCGCCTCCTCCGCTGCCGCATCCCACTGGGCATTTGCAGCATCGCCCTCCTCCTCCTGCCACTCGCCCTCTGCCTCCCCCTCCTCTGTTTCCCCCTCCTCAGCAGCGCCCTCCTCATGATCCATATAGAACTCCTCCTGCTCATCCCAGTCGCCCTCTGGCGGAGGCTCCTCCTCCTCCCATTCCCCCTCCTGCACCTCCTGCCACTCCACCTCGCCCTCCTCATCCACCACCACCCCTGCAGCACGAGCGCCGCAGCACGCAGCAGACTTGCTCAGGCAGTTGTTGAGGCTCATCTGGCGCCCGCCCAAAGCTGCTCTGCTGGTGCCCGGCCGCCTTCTCCCCGAAGCAGCATCCTCACACACGCCAGCATGCCTACAACATCGTCCAGCACGCCTCCCAAACACCCTTTCTCCCACCGCCACCAGCCACGCTCAGCTGCTGCCACTCACTCTCGGTGGGCAGCCCCGCCGCCAACTGGGCCGCCACCCAGGCATCATACTCGTCGGGGTCAGACCCCACCGGCAGCAGGGCATCCAGGCGCTGCTGCAGCGCCTCTGCCAGCATGCCAGCCTCGCCTGCAGGCAGGAAGGGAGCGGCGGCGACAGGCGCAGGCAGGCAGCAACACGTTGGCCGTGGAAGCAGGCCCTGCAAACACGTGTCGCCAGCCTTGTCGCAGCGATGATGCCAAAAAGGGCAGTGCCGGCTGTGGCGAGGTGGCAGGAGCACGCTCACGTTTGTCGGCAGCGCGGTCGCGGAAGTCGGCCACCATGTGGTGGTAGGCGTCCTGGCGGAAGCGCAGCTCATTCTCCTGCGGTACAGGCAGCAGGCACGAGCGGTACACGTCGCGCCGATGAGTGGGCCTCTTGCGGTTCGCCTGCCGCTGGTACACAATGGCGGCATGCAGGAGCCGGGAGCAGCAGCGCTGGCAGCAGGCGGGGTGCTCACCACATGCTTGAAGACAGGCGAGGGCATGTGGGCCGTCAGCAGGAAGGTCGCGCCTGCAGCAGCAGCAGCGGCGGGCAGGGGCCGCGACACTTTGCTGCCAAGGCGCCAAAAATCCTTGCCCCAGGAGCGAGCCCAGACGCAGTTGGGCCATGGGCATCACAAAGCCAGCCAGGCCAGGATCTGTGCAGCATCCACTTGTTGGTTCCACCTACCTGAGGTGGACACTGGCTCCGGGCCGTCATCCGGCTGCACCGCGCCTTCGTGGCTCATCGCATCCACCAGCACACCCAGCACCTCTGGCGCCATCTGCAGGCAGGCAGGCCGCACGATAGTGGCGCAACACAGCTCAGGGCAGGAGCGGCCACATGGTTGGCTGCTTGCATGCCGGCACTGATGTAGACTGATCCATCACTGGTCAAGCACCCTCACTGGTGCGCCCTGCTGCTGGCATAGAGTGTGTAGTGTTCTGCAAACCAACCTCCCGCACCCACCTTGTCAATGCGATTGAGCACCACGATGCCGTCGGGCGTGTTGGACAGGAAGCCGGCCAGCATCGCCTGCAGGCCGGAGGGGAAAACACCGATAGCAGCACCAGTGGCGAGCCAGCAAGGTTCCCAACAGGAGCTGCATCCGGGGCGAGCCCACACTTGCAGCCAGCCTGCACCAGCCTCCTGGCCCAGGCCTGCTCCCAGCCTCCCGGCCCTGGCCTCCCGCCCTGCCCGCCCACCTGCAGACCCGCCACGCTGTCGAGGCGGGAGCCCTCCAGAATGAGCATGCAGTCGCGGCCGCCGCTGGTTGCGCGGCCCGCCTCTATCACCGCATTCTCGCACCCCTCCTCGCCGTCGCAGGCAAACAGCACCGCCGCGGGCTGCAGCTTGGGCCAAACAAGCAAAGGAATGAGGACCCAGGCCTGCTTAACATCATGCATGCAACACCACCATACGGCGAATGTTGCCAGCAGGGGCAGTACCCAGTGCCGGTACAGGCCGTACCTCGGTCCCGGCGTGCGTCCGCTCGGCGCCCAGCACGCTGGCCGCCGTCTCGCGCACCGTGGTCCAGTCGTCGCCCTCCGGCAGCAGCCAGCCGACGACCTCGGTGGCGTTGAGGTGGCACTTGGACTGCAGGCAGGGAGGCAGGCGGCGGTTGAGAGTCGGAGGAGGCAGGGTGGCAGCACGCACGAGTGCCTGAGCCACCTAGCGGGTCTTGCTGCGCCGGCTTTGCCGAGATCAAAAGCGCAGTTCCCTTCCCCAGCCATCCAACGCCCCACCTCGCCGCCCTCTGCATCGCCCGCCTCCGTGGCCACCCCCCAGAGCGGATCGGAGCCGATGGGGATCACAAAGTCGATCTGGCGGCGCAGCGCCTTGGCCTGGGTGGCAACCTCCTCTGTGGGTGTGCGAGGGCGGAGGCAGCGGCGGCAGGTAAGGAGCAGCAGCACAGGCCGAAGCCACACATGCCCACATGGCAGGTTGGGTTGGGGTACGGTTAGGACACCTTCATTCCAACTGACACGCAGCATCTCTCACCCTTCTCCCCCTCGCCCGCCCTCAGCACAAAGTCCACCACCATCAGGTTCTTCACATCCAGCTTGAACTTGACCTGCTCCTTCTGCGGCACGACATGGCGGAGCAGGGCGCAGCGGTGAACAACAGGCAGGGAAGCAGCGCCTGCCCATAACTGTGTTGCGGGTCAGGCGGGTGGCACAAACGCAGCAAGCAAGGCGGCAGCGGCGCACCAGGTTGTCAAAGGCCTCTGGCGGCACGAGGGATGTGAGGAAGAAAGTGGCATCTGCGGGAGGGCGGGCGCGAGGCGGCCGCGGTCAGTGAAGCTGGCGAAGGCTTGTGCCTGTGTTCCCAGCCATATGCTGCCTGGGGTGCCCGAGGCTCGTCCCTGGCCGTCCTACTGCCCATATGGCCCATGCCTCGCTGGCGTGCTGCCTCGCTGGCATGCTGACTGCCCAGCACACACAAGCACGCACCTGTGGTGGCCACATACTCTCCATCGGGCCCAGGCAGAGACCCGTCCTGGCCCATCGCGTCCACCAACACCGGCAGCAGCGCGGGCGACATCTGCACGCCGGGAGGGCATGCGCAGGCAGCGCGGGGCAGCGCAGCATGAGCATGAGCTCCTCGAAGCTGGTGAGGCGTGGAGCGCACAACCGCAGGCTCGCAGCAGCCAGCAGCACAGCAGGACGAGACAGAGACGCTGCGAGCTCCACCGTGGTGCTGGGGCTGCAGGCGACAGCCGGGCTGCCCGTGCCCTGCCCCGACGCACCTCATCGATGCGCCGCAGCACCACGATGCCGGCAGGGGTAGTCTGCAGGAATGCTACCAATGCTGGGCCTGCAAGGCAGGCGCAGCAGAAACGACGGGTCAGGGCATCCTGCCATGCGGGACGAGTGGGCAGGTGGCGCCCGCCCTGGCTGCCTGCCGAGTGTGCGCCCTGCCAGGCACCCAGCGGCGGTCCACCTCAGCGCCAATCTACCTGCAGCGCGTCTGCATCATCTCCCAGCTGCGGTCCATCCAGGTGCAGCACGCACTGGCTGGGGTCCGACACCGCCGCATCTACGTTTTCAACGCTGCTCAGGCAGTCGGCGCCAAGCTCGCACACCAGCAGTGCTACGGCGGCCTGAAGGGGAGCAGGGGGAGTTGCGGTTGTGGCTGCGGCACTCTCGCCTCAGGTGCATAAGGAATGCATGCCCGCGCCTGAGGCTACGCAGCATGAAGCTACAGGCAGCCTGCTGCGGAGCGTGCACCGCACCCCACGCTGTCCCTGCCCTCCCAGCAACAAGCCACGCTGCACTTATCACCTCGTTGCAGCGCCAGCCAACCCACCTTGTTCTCCGCTCCTTGGCCGCCCAGCGTGGCTGCCGCGGCGGCGTGCAGCGCAACAAACTCGCCCCCCATGGGCATCACCGCATGCAGCGCTGTGGACGCATCAAACTGGCACGCCCCGCCATCGTCGTAGCCGCCAGGGCGCACTATGTCTAACTGCGGGCGGGGGAGAAGGTGAGGCGGCAGCAGGACAGAGGGTTGGAGGGCACGACGTGGAGCCAGGCTGGCGTGCTCTGAATTCCAGGTCGAAAGCGTGCTGATGCACTCCATGCCGTGCAGCTAAGAGCCGTAGGACGCCCAAAGGCTGCAGGCGGCGGCAGAAGCTGTCTTACGGCGACAGCGGCTGCTGCAGCGGGGAGGCTCACCAGCGTCTGCACCTGCGCCTGCAGCGCGTCCGCGGCAGACAGGGCACGCTCGCGCAGCTGGCCATACACGTCCGCCGCCGCCTCGCCCGCAAGCTCCGGCAGGTTGTGCATCAGCTCGGCGCAGTCGCGCTGCTGGCAGTAGGGGTAGGCCAGCGTGGCCAGCACGGCGCTGGTGGCCAGCAGCAGCAGCAGGAAGAAGGTGGGGGAGCCAAAGGAGCCAATCAGCTTCTCCTCCGCCGGCGCAGCGGCGCCGTCCTTGCCGGCACGGCGGGAGTTGGAGGGCGTGGGCGCCGCGGGCTCTGCTGCCTCGGGCTCCGCCTCCGACTCGGCCGCGGCCTTCTTGGCGGCTGCTGCGCCGCGACGGCGCAGCGTGGCGCGCGGCGCAGGCTGCTGCTCCTCCTCCTCGGCGGGAGAGTCGTCAGCAGGCGGTGGAGGCTCCTTGGCAGCCTTGGCCGCTGCGCCTCGCCGCCGCGTCGTGCGCGGCGCCACCTGCGGCTGCTCCTCCTCCTCCTCGCTGGAGGCAGCGGCAGCAGCAGCGGCGCGGCGAGTGGTGCGGGGCGTCCTTGCAGCTGTCTGCAGGCGCAGCGGCGCGCGGGTTGAGGAGTGGCTCAGGCAACAGCGGCGGGCTGCAACGCCCCTGTCAGGGTGCTGCGCATGTCCAGGCGGTGGCAGCAGCCCGCCGCTGCAATGCGCTCACAAGTGAGGCTGACGCAACCTGCAGGCCCAACAGCGCGCCCGCCAGTCCGCCCGCCGCCGCCTGCACCCCCCAGCAGCCGGCCCCAAGCGCAAGCGGCGCATCGCGCCCGCCTCAATTCAGGCAGCTTGCTCACCGCACGGGTGCCGCGCCGTGGAGTGGCGTCCTCCTTGGCCATAGTTGCAGCGCTCCTCTTCTGCAGGGTGAGGCGTAGCGAGCGGCTCACTGGGTGGTTCAACGACTGCTGGGTGTGCCCTGGCACCGATACCGCCGCCAACCCTGCCCTCCCTCGCGAGCAGCACAAAACAGTTGCATCCCATCTCGCGCATGTCGCCCTCCTGCATGCTTCCTCCTCACCCGGCGGAGTGGGGGTCTCGATGCAGTCCGCTCGGTCTGTTGAGGGTTCACCAGGCCGCCCCAGTCATGTGGTGACGAAAGCCCTGGTTAGGTCTCGCCTGCCGAACTGCAAGATCTGGAGTTGGCGGGGTTGCGATTCGTGAAGCTTCATGAAGGGAGCGCGCAGGTTTCTACTGTATGCCGCGGCGGTGTACCGCCTCGCCATGTGGCGTGTCCTGCCGGGGGCTGGAGCGCAGGAGCGCTGAGCACCTGACCAAGCTTTGCAGCCCCTCCAACGTACTTCTCATGTGTGATATGCGCGCTGGCAGCTGCCAGTTTGCAAGCCGCACAGACCACAGTTCTGCGTCGCCGCCAGTCCGCACGTCTCCACCTGCCAATCCGCACGTCTCTGCCTGCCTGCAGATGCTGTGCTGTGGCATTCAGCGTGGAATTCTGCTGGTGTCTAGCTTCCACCCAGCACAACTTATTAGTTACTATTGTAGGCACGCAGCATGACGTGCACGCCGCCAGCGTGCCGCACGCTGGCGGGCTTTTGCACAACTCTCTTCTGGGCCCCTGACCTTCTCATCCAGCGCTCTCCTGCCCATTGTTGGCTCCGAATACAGAGCGCAGACCGCTCTGACACCCGCCGATCACTCGCCGCGGACAGGATTCGGGCTTGGAGATGCAGCAGTGCGGCCACCTGGTGTCAGTGAGACGAAGATGAAACGTGCGCTCGCTGGCCGGCCGCCATGTTTGCCAGCGGCAGAACCTGCCGCCAGCGCCTGCTGGCTTGTGCCGTTCTGCCCCGCCCAGTCTTCTCCCTCCGTCTTCACTCTCCTGTGCGCAGTTGTGACCACTCTCCAGCCCGACACCAACTTCCGGGAGATCGGCAGGCTGGCGGTGTGGAGCGTGACGAGCGCCAAGCCGGGCAACGGCGTGGAGCTGCTGCGGGACGGGCGGGACGACACCTACTGGCAGTCCGACGGCGCACAGCCGCACCTCGTCAACGTGCAGTTCCAGAAGAAGGTGGGACGGATCGCGGGTTGCTGCGCCTGGGGCTGGGCAGGCCAGCGGACAGAGGACGGCCACGGCATGGTGCGGCGTTCATGCAGATGGAACGCCCGCGGAGCCTGCCTGCCTGCCCTTACGTCCCACAGCCATGCCGCAGCTGTGTGTGTGCCACCGTCATGTGGACCCCTGCACCATCTGGCCGTATACCCCCCTGCCAGCGTGCCGCAGTGTACCACCCTGTCCGCCACCTGTACCGCAGGTGTACCTCAGCGAGGTGGCCATCTTCACCGACTACAAGCTGGATGAGAGCTACACACCCACCAAGATCTCCATCCGGGTCGGCAACACCTTCTCCGACGTGCGGGAGGTGCGCCTCGTGGGAGGCTGGCAGCTGGGAGGCTGGCACTGGGAGGTTGGTAGGCAAGCAGAAGGGAGGGAGTGGCATGAACGCTGCATGGTTCAGGCGGAGCATAGGCAGCAGCAATTGTTGGGCGCGTGTCTCCAGCAAGATGCCGCCCGACCAGGTGCCGCCTGTGTGCTGCAGGTGCGCAGCATAGAGCTGTCGGAGCCTCAGGGCTGGGTGGTGGTCAGCCTGCCGCCCGACGATGAGCCCGAGTGAGTATGTTGGCCTGCTGGCCTGCACCTGTACCGCTGCTGACTAGGATGCATTCATTGCGACGGCGCGCTTGGTGCTCCCGGGCAAATTTCCTTGAAAAAATAAAACCTGTCAATAAACTGCGATCCCACCCTCTCATTTGGTTTGTTGCCACCTGCAGGGCCTACCTCAAAGGGTTCCTCCTGCAGATCGCTGTGCTGGCCAACCACCAAAACGGGCGCGACACACACATACGGCAGGTGTGCGCAGGCAGTCGGGAGCTTGCCTTGATGGCGTGCATCGCATCACGCATGTTGGCCACTTGTCACCCGCTGTTTCATGCTGCACGTCCAAGCCCCAAGTTCCCCCCTATGCATCCAGCCCCATCTAATGCCCCACCTGCCTGCCCCGCCCTCACATACCCCACCCTGCTGACGCGGCCTCAAGCGCAGGTGCGCGTGTTTGGGCCACGCAGCGACCCCATCAAGGCCCTGGGCCACGAGGTGTCCTTCACCAGCCCACAGTTTGCCATGTACGCGGCGGCACGGTAGCAGCAAGGACAGCACGACCGGCAGCAGCCGCGGCACAGACGGCATACGGAGGTGCAGCGGCGATCTGACGAGCAGCTGCAGCAGCGCTCAAGGCATGGCAGTCGATGTAGGTAGAGCAGCAATGTAGAGGACAAGTTTATGGGTTCATTGGTACAAATCGACAGCAAGAGAGAAAGTAACTGCTGAACTGAAAGAGATGGGGAGCAAACAAATACAATGGAAAACCGTGCCAGCAGCAACAGCAGCCGCAGCATCAGTGGGTCCGGGTCAGGAAGGCGCTGCTGCTGCTGCTGTTGCCTGCTGGTCTGCCGCTCCCGCCGCCTGCTCTGCTGGCGCCGGCTGCCGCAGCTGCTGATAGTCTGCCGCGACTGCTGGGTAGGCCTGCTGTAGCTGCTGGGATACCCGCTGCTGCAGCATGCGGAACGCCTCCACCTTGCCCTTGCTGCACAGAGCAGTGACAGGCAAGCTTGTGGGAAACGGCAACAGCAGCAAGCGCGCGAGACCAACCCAAACGGGCAGCCTGCCCAGGTGGCATGCAGCGGCCACCCACCTGGCCTGGTTCTGCGCCATGCTGTCTCTGAAGAGCTGCACGGTGAAGCTGTCTGGGTTGGTGCCCTCGTCCACCGCTCTGCACCCCCGGGTGCAGCAACGCAGCATGCACTTGCTTGATGGCCTGGCCATGACTGGCAGCCTGGACTACGCTGTAGTAGGCATAGCGGCGAGATCTGCCAAGTCAGCCAGTTGGTAAGCTGTCCGGCAGGGCGAGGGGTGTAGCCAGCAGCCTGCCCACCTGAGCAGCTCCACGGCTAGCTCCGCCTGCTGGCCGGCCCCAATCATATTGTCCTTCACCGCATCCAGCTTTGTCAGCTCCTCTATGTACTCATTGCTGCGAGGCCGGGTAGGCACAACACAAGCCCATCTGTCCCCACCGCACAATGTTGACCGAGCAAGGCTGGTCACAGCAGCACACACCAGCAGGCCGGCAGGCATGCTGACACCAGCAGGCCGGCAGGCATGCTGCAGCACTCACAGCTTGGTGTGTAGCAGCTCGTTGTTGCCGTCAAACTCCCCGAGTATCGCCTCCAGCTCGTTGATCTGCAGGGCGAGTGCGTGCAGAGGAGATGAGGACACACGGGCGTGTGGCCGCTGGCGGTGGCGGCGCAGTGGCGGCGGCACCTTGAACAGCACCCTATCGATCGCATCCTGCACCGTCTTGCGTTTCTGCGCCTCTGTGGCCGCACTCATGACCGCCTGACGCCTGGGGGAGTCGAAAGAGCAGCAATTTAGTGCTGGGTACCTCAGATGAAGCTTGGCTGGGGTGCTGGAACGCAGCAGATGTGACTGAGCAAGGTAAAAGAGCCACCAGATGGCCGATTGGGACATGCAGCCTCCACTGCAGACGCAGCAGGCAGCGCAGGCTGGAGGGAATGAAGGAAACGCGCCCCGCCTGCGCTCGCCGCCTCCTGCATATGGGTGCCGAGTGATCAGTGCAAAGCGCTCGCGTTCCTTCACCCTCGCATACAGGTTCGCCGCGTTCCCGTCGCCCCTGCTTGTCGGAGCTGCAGTTCTTCTCTCAGACCGCCCTGCGGGGTGCTGACCAGCAGAAGCAGTGAGGCTCCTGGGCGGGTGCTGCCCCTGACCTTTCGCCCGGCCCAAAGTGGCCCGCCGCCACCGTCCCCCGTGCAGGTTCCGACTGACGGGCACAGCAGCATGGCGTATCAGCAGAACCAGTGGCGCGTGTGCGTTGAGTTCCTGAAGGCCAACCAGCCGGGCCACGGGCGCATCATCCGGCTGAACTATGCGCCAAACGGCGTGCCGCCGCAGCTGATGGGGCGCATCCACCCGGTGCGCTCCCACACGGCGGCCAGCTCTGCAGCCCGTGCTTGCTGGCAGCATGTGCTTGCTGGCACGAGAATAGCGGTTGCAGCCGCGCTGCCTGGCAGGGCCCTCGCTCCCAGCCTCGCTGACGAGACCGCTCAGCTTCCCCGGGCCGCCTCTCCGTGCCTTGCAGGCCTTCTGGCAGGCATTCATGGAGGAGGCGGGGCAGCTGAGCCTGCGGCACCCCTTTGTCGCCCGCCCCTCTGCCAAGAACTACTGCACCTGGGCCGCCTGCTTCGGGCTGGGTGCCGTGGTGGGCCTCTTCTGCATCTCACCCGACGCAGGTGCGGGACAGCGGGGAGGGCCACGCGGCTGTGCTGTGGGCAAGGGAGGCACGCAGGCAGCCCATTGGCAGGCCCTTGGGAGCACATGGATTCGCTAAGACGTTTTCACGAGTTCTTCAGCAGTTGATCGATGTGTGGCCCGCGCACTGGCCGCCGCCCGCTGCAGGCGACTACGGCGTGTGGGACCAGGATTGCCGGCGGTTTGTGGCCCGCTGGGCGCCCGGTTGGGCGCAGGCGGGATGCACGCTGTCGGTGCAGCACGCCCGGTGAGCGGGGCTGTGGGTGGAGGTGCAGGTGTGCGGCAGCGCGGCGAGGCAGGTGGCACACTCCCCATGGCCCATCTTGCTGCCTGCCTGACCAATGCTGATATGGTCTGCTCTCGATGTCGCCTGCAGGGACTGGTGGCTGCAGATCGACCTCAACCCCTCGTTTGCTGTGGGCCAGCCAGTGGCGCCGCCCCTGCCGCCTCCGCTGGCCCCGCAGCAGCCGCCGCACCCGGCCCGGACCAGCAGCAGCAGCGACCAGCAGCAACAGCAGCTGCAGCCTGCAGCCAAGCCGCCCAAGGTGGTGTAATGCCTGTGGGAGAGGGGACCTCCGCCTCCTGTTTTGCAGATGTGCCAGGGCAGATGGAGGGGCTGCGGCTCAGCCTGGCATATGCTGTTGTCTTTTGCCGCTTCGACGTTTTCGGGTTTTGGGTGAAAAAAACATGCCCCTCACGTGTAAAGTGTTTTTGCCCTTGCCATCCAAGCAGTATGGCAGTGTGTGGGCTGCTCTCCATCTGTGTGCCCTCAGGAACCTGAGCGGAAGAAGTCGGATTACAGCGGGGAGGCAACTCTTCTCTGCCACGATCCGCTGCCAGCTAGCTGTCGGGCACGCTGAGCTCCAGCTGCACGCGGGCGGCACCATTGTGCATGACGCGGGAGCCCTCCGCCCAGAAGCCGTCCCAGGTGATGGGCTTGCCGCCATGGCCTGCAGCTTCCGATACTTGGGCCCAGCCCCGGCTCTGTCCGATAGAGAAGTGTGTGGTGCTACGCACCAGAAAGTCATCTGTGGAGCTGGCTGCGCACAGCCTTATGGAGCATTTGACCTGCACAGCCAATGCAACATTCGAGTTTATGCAGTGCCGAGGTTGCACCGCAGACAATGCATCCCGCCCTAAAACACCTTCATGGTGTAGGCTTCCTTGGTCAGGTTCTGTCTTTCGGCTCCCGGGGTGGGGCTCACAACCACCCTGATAAAAATGCCAAGGAGGCCCTTGGATTGTTGCAGGCTAACATTCCAAAACAATCCAGCCCAGAAGTAGTGTGGAGCTGTGAAAACCGCATCATACTCCGGCGCTGCGACGGCGGATGCTGGTGGTGGACCGAAGCCACCGAAGCCAGAAAAACCGACTGCAGGTTGACGAATGGACTTCACCAGCCCGGCTGCGGGCTGCAACTCAACAGCCAGGAATCAGTGGGGTCCTGTCACAGATCAGCGGGCGGGCAGTTGTGTGTTCTCACCTGGAACACAAACACGGCAGGCGCAGCCCGTGTGGCCAGCGGGCGAGGGCGCGGCAGCCACCAGCACTCGCACTTAGCCTTGAGGCCTGGTGCGCTACCATCAGCCATGGACGCGTGCCACTCGTCAGCCAGAGATGGCTCAGCTGCTGATGAAATCTGCACTCCAGTTGCATTTGCATTCCCAACCTTAGGGACAGCATGTCAAGGCTGCACGTAGCATGCTGGGGCGACATGTCTTCACAACAGCATGCTTACCGCACGGATCAGCAGCTCCTTATCGGAATCGAAAATGTGGATGAATGAACAGTGTTTGTAAAACATCGACAGCACGCTGGGCGGGATGGCTGGGAAGCGGATACGACTGCAGATGACGGCGGTGTGCTGCTTCAAATCTATGCCGAAGGGGTGTGGATATCTCTCCATCCAGTAAGCAAAGGCAGCCAGCACTGCAGGCAGAGCACACATGGGAAAGGGAGACCACAGCTTAGCGCATCGGCAAACCGGGCCAGCCACGCCAGCGGCAGCAGCAGCACAAACACCTGTGGTTTCACTGTCAGCCTCCACATTTTCATCTGCGAAAATGCAGTCCTGCAGTTGGGCAGGGAACAGCCGGTTAGGGCATATTTGCAACCCAGGGCAGCGGACCCGCTCGTGCACGTCCATCCCTGACAGCGCGCTCACCCGCAGCAGGCCAAAGGGGATACTGGTGAACACCTTCCGGCGGCGCTCGTTGTTCAGCATGTCTTGCAGCGGCCCCAAGTACTGCAGCAGCTGGTGCTTTGCTGAAGCTCCTTGCCCAACGCCATCTGCTGGCAGCAGGCTGCAAAGCTGCTTGTGCACAGCTTCTAACAGCTTGTCTGCCTCTGCCTGAATCTCGTTGTGGTCCGAGGCGCCACTCTGCAGGGATGACAGGAGGCTCAAGCATGCCGTAGCAGGCATGCTGGAAGCCTTTGTAAGGGGAAATGACACCAGACAGGCAGGCCAACAAATTGGAAGCTGGAACAGGCACAAAGTGGATGCTACATTAGCCGTGTCAGCGCGTTGCAGGCTTACTCACCCTCTGCTGCAACGGCTGCATGCAAGCCAATACCGCTTGCTCGACCGCATGCTCGCGTGCCAGCAGCAGCAGCTGGATCAAATCCTCCAGGCCTGCAGTAGCGCGGGTGGGGTCTTTGAGGTACCAGTCAACAAGCAAGCCGCTACTAAGGGCCAGCAGGGACGCATGGAAGTGGTGGACACACTGGTAGTACCTTCAGGCATCTCCTTGCCCATACTGTGGATGAAGGCGAGCAGGTGCCGGTAGCCAGCTTCCTCGGCTTCGCTGCGGCACTGCATCACCAGCTCTTTCTCGTCGGCAGCGCCCGTCCACCGCGCAATCCAATTCCTGCGCCAAGCAGGCAGGCGGGCACAGCACGGCAGTTCGGTCCAGCCAGGGACAACACAGGGACAGGGAGGCGGGCTGACAAGCCAGCAGCACAGGCAGCAGCGGGGGGCAAGTCAGCACCTGAACTTGGGCGAGAACATCTTGAGCAGCACCGAAGAGGTTTTCAACGCCCTGCGCCCCGCTTCCTGCGGCTGTGGCTCCTTCTGCTGCAACGGCTGCTGCTCGCGCTCGGTTGCTGCCATGTCAGCCTCGGCCTCCATCTCTCGTGGAGCATCCGCTGAACCCTGCACCTGCGCTGCGCCCAGCTGCTCCATCTTCTGCCGCTTGGAGGCAGGCTCGCTGTCCACCGGCTGCTCTTGGGCTGCGCTGGCGTCGGGGGCTGGTGGCGGGAGGAGTACCAGGGCGCAATCAAAGTCGTCCTCTTCCACAGGCAACAGGAAGTGCAGCGTGGCCGCCATGGCTGCGAGCGGCTGGCGGCGGGCCGCTGGGCGGTGGTCGGCGCTGGTTGGAGGGCGCGCGTGCAGCTGACCCTGCGCCTTCCCAAACAGAACTGCCAGAGTGTCTCACTCGCGCACAAGCCAGAAGAGGCCCACTAGGGTTGCCTCTGCCGAGGAGCGTCTCGAGACCAAGCTCGCCTGAAACGTCGAAAAACATCGCGGCACGAACTGCACTGCAGTTCAACGGCATGGAGTGGCACGCCGTGAAGCGCCTGCTGCCCCTGTGTACCGCGGGCGGCAGCGGTGGTACGCCGGCGGCGCCTGCTCGTGTCATTTCTTCTTCTTCAATGCTGTGTTGGTCTCATCAGAAGGTGCCAAATGGCACAATGCAAATTAGCTACGCAGGCCTTTTAACAGCGTCAAGACACCACTCATGAGCATTCGCTGTTGAGGGTTGCGGCGTGGCTGGGCACCCCAGGTGAACCACCCGCCCTGCCCACACCTGCCTGCCACCGGCTGGCGCTCTCTATTTCTCATCATGGTGCTGGCTTCAACTCTCTGGCTCTTCCCATTCGTTTACCAACGAATGCGATCGCAAACTGGGTCGCAAGGCGGCAGCCTGCGGCCTGAGGCCTGCCAGGTGTCTGTCCGACGGTGTCAGTCACCAGGTGTCAGTGTCTGTCTGTCTTGTACACCCATAAGGAGCAAGTGAATGCTACGGGCCCAGCTGTGGTGCTGCAGCTGAAAAATGTGTGAAGGCACTATACACAACTTGTTTGAAACGAGGAGAGAGAAGGGAGGGGTGGGGTGCAGACAGAGCAGGGGAGCAGAAATAAAATTGGCAAGCATCTTGGGGTCATCTGGATATGCTGCAGGAACAGTTGCAGGCGGAAGCAGATCAGGCACAACATTTGGTGGTGGCTACCGAGCACACCTTCTGTTTCACAGCCAGCCAGCCAGGCTCCTGCGTGCTTGTGCTGCCCAGCCACACCTCCCCAGCCGGCAGCACAGGCGGGCAGGCCCCTGCTGCCGCCGCCTCACCATAGGAAGGTAGTTGTTGAGCATCTGAGGCCATCGACACAGTCTGGATCCGCCGCGCACGGGCCGCCAGAGGAATGCTTGCCGCACGTGCCGTCCCAGGTGTTGCAGTAGCCCCGGACTGCCTGGCAGTAAGACAACTTGTCGAGCAGGTCCAGGCTGCAGTCCGCGCCATCTTGCTTCAAGTGGCACCGGGTCGAGGAGCAGATGCCGGTGAGGCAGTCGGCGTCGGAGTAGCAGGGCGCGCCAACGTCCAACTTGCCGCACTGCATCGTGCCTTGGGGGCATGCCCTGCGGCTGCGCAGCTGCCGCTGAGGCAGCGGTCTGGGTGGTCCGGGTTGCATTGCACTTGCCCGGCAGCCCTGGGCAGCGCAGGTTAGCCGCGTTCTCGCGGCGGCCGGCGCCCCCTGCGACTTGACTGCTGACGAGGGGGTTGCCATACCTGAATTGGCGGAAGCGCTCCTGGAGCGCCATGTTGCCTCGTACACGCATGCATCCGTGAAGGTGCAGCGGTACATTGAGGACGTGTGGGGGGGCAGCATCTCTGCGGAGGCCTACACGCCTGCGTCGTTCCTGTGCGATGTGCCCGAGCGCCGGCGCCGGGTGCGCCTGGCGCAGTGGCGCACGGGGTCGCACTGGATGGCTGAGGAGACAGGCCGGTGGCAGCGGCTGGACCGCACCCAGCGCCCATGCCCCCACTGCCAGGCCCCTCTAGAGGACGTACGCCACGCAGTGTATGACTGCCCCCTATACGCTGGGCTGAGGGAGGAGTATGCTGAGCTCTTCCACAGTCCCGGCCACGCCTTGCCCTCCCTGGCCGCCTTCCTCGGCCAGGCCAGGCAGGGCCGGCTGGCCCGGTTTGCCGACCGGTGCCATGAGGAGCATGCTGCTGC